ATTTTCTCTGATCTGTTAATTTTAAGCTGACAAAAGTAAAGTAGTAAAAAAAAAATGACATCTACCAGTGTCGTGCATTGTATGAAGGCACTTTATTTCCACATGCAAGCATTGGTTCTTTTTCTATGTTTGATTTCCAAAGCCTTTGTATACTGACATGTTGAGTTTCCTCTGGGCCCACCCATGGCACCACTCTGTCTTCGCACAGACTGCTGGGATTCCTGGACACAAAATCTGTCAGATGCTTTAAAAATAACTATGTAACTGGGAATTGCCTACACTCCTTTTTGTGATTGTGCTAATGAAATGACTGTGCAGTCTGGAACATTACCCTCTATCAGGGGTGAGTGGCCACTTAAACTTAAAGCTGAAAACAGCTAGCAAAAAGCTGAAATGTAAGAAGTCCCCATCCGTTTGTACACAGCAGGAGCCCAAAAACATCTAAACAACAAAAGCTGCAATCAGCTAAAAGCTGAATTTTCACACCTCTGCTATATGGACAGGCTATACATGGCAAACCTTGTGCAATCTGACCAATCACAAGATTGTGAGTGTTTCCACGAGGCGCTTTCTTGAACGGATCATACAAACCACTAACCGAAAAGTTCCGTTTGCCAAAATTTGATTACTTGTGCCAAAAAAAGACCATTACACATATCATCTGTACGTTCTAAAACACATATGTACTGATGCAATAAATTCATTGTTGCCAACTTGCGGTATATGTATTGAAGTTGGACGAAACTTACTGTATTTTTGTTATGACCATCAAAACATAGTAGGGCCATGGGAAAGGTCACTGTGCCCATATGTGGTATACTCCTGACTGCTAACGGTATTCCCTATTCAATCTACAAACACACTAAATATGGTGCCAATAGTACTGACTACACATTATTGATCAGAAATTATTTAGTACGGATTAAAATATACTCCTCAAAAAAGTTGAGGACCACTCTTTTCTTAACTTGTAATTTTTTTGGGTCTAGTTGTTTCATTTTTTGTTTTGTCTAGATGGTGTTCTCATTGGAATAACAATTTTCTAAAATGTTTCAGAACATCAAATGCATATTTTCAGCAGTAAAATATCTCACATATAAAAGTATACACAAAATATATGTGTGTAAAAAGTGGTCCTTAACTTTTTTTGAGTAGTGTAGTTTGAAATAAATGCACTAAGTTTTTAAATTGAAAGCTAGCACACATGCTACATTTCAGCTGCACACACAGTATTAAGCAATGCCCCCCAAACATTCTTGTAGTGTGTTGAACAGTATGCGTTTGTGAATGAGACCGAAACCAGAAGACGGGTAGGTTGAGCATTCACCGATTTCAACGACCCATTTATCCTATGCACACAACCATATTCATCACACAGGGATACTTCAATTTAAGCCACAAAAGTGTTGTAACAAGTAACACTGCAGGGTACCAAAACAACTAAAATGCTCTGTGAATGGCGAGAGATGTAAGACATGTATGCAGCTGTTATGCATGAAACTGTTTTGCTAAAATGGACGACTATTACGGAAAACGGGGAAAAAATTCAATGAATGTTTGAAGATATTACACCTCGTACAGATTCCTTCTCAATGGATAATGGTATAATACAAGTCACTAACAATGTGCGCTGTGTATTGGTTTATGGTCACAGCAATAAGAGTGTGATGTAAATAAACCTTTTGTATCTACTTATCAGACAGTATTGCTTTGAATAAAAGTTTCAAATAGTCAGTACAGAAACAATTGAACATATTAAACAGAAGTACAAGCAAGCATTGTTCCAATATTCTTTACACCAATTCGAAAGGACGGGTAAGTTCTTAAGTTTTATCAAACTAGAATGAAAAACCCTTACACTTTAAGTAATCTTAAAAATGATAAGTCATCAAAGTAAAGCATTCATTGGAAATTACTACAAATATTAAAATGATCTAAACATCTGATTGATATGAAAATATTTATAGGTAGATCATTAAAAAAGTTGTAAATTTATTCAGATAAAAACATGGACAGCACAAAACCTAGTACAATATAGTTGAAACAGGAAACGGGAATGGTCAATTGAAAAGTATTTAAACTAACAGTGTGACCCATTTAACAATTTGCATTCTAACTTATAAGTACCCTTAACATCTATAAAAATGTTAGCCATTCTTTACAATAGACATACCCATGGTTGCCCACTGTTACACAATCTGGATTAGCTTAACATCCAAACTAGGAATTATCACCTTCACAATTTTTGTAAATCTCAGTTCTTGAAAATAAGTGTGTGAAGTACAGTTTTTAAATCACTCCAAACTGAACCAGAATCACTTTCCCAAGTCAAAATTTCATTTGCAATAAATAAGTACACCTTGGAAATTCACCCTTTTAAAGTAAATTCCCAATAGATCTATTTTGTGAAATTCTGTTATTGTATCTAGATGATACCACAAACACGCTGCAAAATGCATGCACAGGTTGTAGATGCTCTGTGTAAGACACAACTCTTTTTTCTTAATACTGTTGGCCTTCTTCATAGCATACACGCTGTTCCCCCTTATTTTTGATAACGAGCTTGAATTGATATGATGGAAGAGGGCTTTGAAGAGAAGAACACTGCTGTAAGGTGTTGACAGCATCATTCAAAATGTGGTCTTTTAAACTGAAACCCAAACTAACCCTTCAACTGTAATGCAAGCCCATCATACCCTAATATATAAGCCATAACCATTGCAGAAAATCGGCAGAACCAGACAACCCAAAGTTTTGTACCTATTATTGTAGCTTAGGTGAGTCCCTCTTCCAAAGACTATCTATCTTCAAGCCAGGATAGTGATCACTACCTTACCCTTGGCCCGTTTTAGAACTTCCACTGCCTGCTCATGGGTAGCTGACTCTAGACTCTCCCCATTCACTGCCATGATCTGATCCCCTCGCTTCAGCTCACCACTGACAGCCGCAGCACCCTTGTTGAAGACTGTCTTGATGTAGATAGGCAGATCACCGTGTGGACTGCCATAACCACCAATAATGCTGAAACCAAGGCCATCTGGTCCACGCTGGAGCTCAATGTGCTTCAAACGACAAGCACTGTACAAATGGAATAAACAGTTCAACACAGTTTTATGTCACACATACAATCCAAGTTCTGAATACTGTATTTGATTTCTAAATTAATTAGCAAATATTCCCGATTTTGAGTTAGAAGCCATGACAATGAGTATACAAAATGTGATCAAGAGACAGATTTTTTTTTCCTCATTGTCAAACACGGTC